CCCCAAAACCCCAAAACCCCAAAACCCCGTATGTATAAATATGCTTGGTAAGGGTGATATTAAATATTTATTAATTGAGCTTGATTACTATCAGAAACAACATGAGCATTTAATTTTTCGATGAGCTTAAGCAGTTCCTTGCAGGTTCTTAAAATCGTATGTCTTCATTATATCTTCTCTAAACATTGACCATTCATTCAATACACTTTGAGTCGCCTTATAACCAAAATTTATAGCAAATAATGAATACAGAAAGCATGCTGAAGCTGAAATCAGAAGATTGCGCGATCAGGATCCTGTAACATCATTAACATCTTTTTCATTAATTTTAGAGAACTTTCATTGCATCTCTTACGAAGGAAATAGCTGATGAAAGCAATCCCAATGAAGTTAGAATGATGGGAGCATTGGTATTCAAAAATTTCGTTTCAAACAGAGGAGGAGTAAATAATAAGTCCAAATTTAATGTGATTTTTTAGGACCAAAGGTACGAGGACTATTGGATCAATCTCGAAAGAGAGTTCAAAGATTATATAAAGGATGCAGTCCTAGCAAGTTTAGCTTGTCCAAATGGAGCTGTGAGAAAGCAAGTAGCTAACGCCATTGCAGCTATCGCTTCGATTGAGGTACCAAGAAATGAGTGGCTTGAGATCATTCCAAATCTTTGCAACAATGCAGCCAACGAATCAATTGACATTGTAAATGCCTCAGTTGAGACCCTTGGATTTATTTGTGAAGAGATTGAACCTAACTAAATCAATGACCAACTAAAAAGTCTTATCATTCAAGCAATGACTCGTAATATTTATGCTGATCCAGCTCTTCAGAATACTACAACATTAGCAATCAAAGCTTTTTACTTAGCTTTACCCTATGCTACTCAAAACTTTAGAGTCGTTCATGAAAGAGATTACATTATGGGAAGATTGTTCGATGCATTTTCATCTCCTGAGGAAGATATAAGAACTGTAGCTATGCAGACTTTGGTAGATATTGGAAGATAAGAATATGATAGTATTGAATATTACTTCTAAAAGATATGTGAGATTACTGCAACTATAGCCAGAAATGACGAAGAAAAAGTTGGTGCTCAAGCTATTGAGTTTTGGACAAGTCTAGCAGAGGAGGAAATAAGTAGATTAAAGAAGAGGTAAAATTTTAAAGGATACATTAACTAATGCTGCAAAGACTTGGTATGCTTGCTACTTGATTGTGTTTAAAGGGTTAATATCGATGAGGAGGATGAAGATGATGATGAATTAAGTGTAGCACTATCATCTGGGTGCTGTTTAGCTGCTATTGCTTAGCTGAACGGAGATCAAATTCTTGATATGGTAATTGAGTTTGTTTCCTAAAATATTGGAAGTCAAAACTGGAAACAAAGATACAGTTCATTGTTAGCACTAGGTGCAATCACGGAAGGACCTGAGAAATTAAACTATGTTAACAAGATCATGCCAGGACTTTAGGCTTTACTCGATAAATTCTAAGATAATCATGCCTAAGTTAGATGTGCAGTTGCTTGGGTATTCTCAAAGATATGCGAGAATCATAGTGATGTCATTATTATGTATACTCCCTCAGATAAATTTATTCCAATTCTTCTTATGGCTCTTAAGGACAAGCCTAAGATATCTAATCACGTTTGTAGAATATTTGAAAATCTATGTCAGTCATTGAATTAAGAGAGAGACCAAAGAAGCAACTATTTAACAGGATATTTCCAAGCTATTTCAAATGAACTGATATAAAATGCCTACAGAACTGACTTTGAAGGTTCATCTGCCGATCTATTACTTGCAAGCTTCTTGGCTCTATCTATTCATCTTGAGAAAGCAGGATCTGATTCCTATGAAGTCTTATTTTCAATGCTGATACCTGTACTTCAATTTATTGATGATACTCTTGATTTTGGTAAATTTGGAGAGAAAAAATCCAAAGAACTCCAAGACTATCTTTCCGGAGTATTGTAAGTGATCTTGGCAAAGGTTGGAAGTGCCGTCAGTGATGATTTGAGCAGCTAAATAATCTAGTTATTGATTAAGTTATTCTAAGCTCAAAAGAGAGTGACTGAAAACGGCCTCATAGCCTTTAGTGGATTATGCAACGGCCTGGGTGAGAGAGTTAATATTAGCGAATTCGGAATCTATATTTGCTACGCTCTCAAAGGCTAAGATGATGAGTGTGTGCGATTAGCCTGCGGTATCATAAGTGATCTCGCAAATGCTTTAAAATTCAAAGTGACTACTTTTCTTAAGGAATTCGTTCCCCTTTTGTTTGAAATCCTTAAAGATTAAAACCAAGATAGAAACTCAAAGTTATAAGCAATAATCGCATTAGGAGATTTAGCCATGAACTCAGGCAACTCTTTTATGGAGGAGTATTTGGAGGAGACTCTTAAGATTTTAGAAAGTGCTTGCAAGCTCAGTACTTAAATAATCTCAGAAGACGATGACTCAGATCTTTATCTGTATTTAGACAACCTCAGATCTTCCCTCGTTGAGTGCTATGTCACTATTGTTTAGGGACTTGAAGAGGCTTCGATTAATGCAAAGTAGATCTTTGTTAGATACTCTCCTGCTTTATTCTTGTTCTTGCAATAGATAGTATAAAATGAGATTAATCCTTCAAAGGTAATTTAACTTTTCTTCTAACATTTTTTATAGGAGTAACTTAGAAATGCACTTGGGTTGATAGGAGATATCGCAAGCGCAGTTGGAAGACATGTCTAAAACCTTCTAACTTAGCCATTTGTTGAAAAGTTGACTTTAATTCTAAAGAATGATCCTGATCAATATAGCAAAGAAGTAGCTGAATTCACATATCAATCTATAGCTCAAGCAGTCATGCAAAGCTGAACATGATTAGTAGTTTCGAATTGAGAAAATAGTCTTAGCCTATATAATTTAAATGTGCATCAACATCTCTATTAGCATACTTAAACCCAATATAATAAATGTTTCTTTGTTAATTAAAAATTGCCTTTCCATTATCAAATATACGTAGTGGTGGGGTTTTGGGGTTTTGGGGTTTTGGGG